CTTGTGTAACATAGTTTATATCGTTTTCATTTATGGATGCCTTAAGAGTTTCCAGAAAACTTACTTTACGAATAGCTGCCGGCGTGCTTTCTTCTTCCTTCTGTTTCTTCGTGCTCCAACGTATCTTGAGGAACTTTTGGCATCACTACCTCATGGCAAACTTACTGAGTATCCACCACATCCCAAAATCCATTTCTTGATCACTCATTTCCTGTTTAAGTTTTTTATATTATAACTATTGTTCCTCGACGATTTATTGAATAATTTATATGTAACCTCAAAATCAGCTCGTAGGAATGGGGAATTTGGTATATCATGCCTGGTGGTTACTTTCAACAACTCATTGATGCAATTGCTCACTGTCACAGCAATACCACCGAGATCTGAAGGTTTGCAATTGCTGATTGGAATATCTGTTGTGAAGACTATCTATCTTACTTAATCTTTAACTATTGTTCCTTGTTCCCCAGCCTGAAAATTTGCTTTTTGATTTCTAAGGGAACTTAAAAGTTTCTGACTTTGGGCATTTATTCAAATCTCTAACAGGGAGTCAGGGTCATACCACTTGTGGGACTCCAAATTATGTTGCACATGAGAGATGTGATGCATATGTAGTTTGAATTATTCAGTTACTTCTTAATAGTTCTTATGAGTGCATTCTTCTTGTTTTGCACATGCAACCTATCATTCTTCATTTGATTGGCCTGTTATCCCCCCAAAACCTTTTTATTATTTATACTTTAGATTGCGAGCTAAGAGGCAAATATATACTTTTACGTTTGTAGTCCTGGTTTAGTAATTTGTTGTTATATTATTGTCTCATTCTGATGTCCACATTAATAGCACCATTTGATTTGTTATGTCTGCAAAGCTTAAATCAGAAAGAGGCAGGGGGGTGGTTGTCTTCATTTTAATTCATTGATCTCTTTTTGATTAGTCATCAGAACTGAAAATATGATTTTTTTAAGTTTGATTGCTCAACATGGATTAAAATCCTTTCAAATTTCCCGGAGCATGTCTTCTGCTTGTTCCTTGATTTTATAAGTGTTCCTTTTCTCATCTCCTTTTTCTTGATTAATTTCTGAAACTACTCACAGATCATCAAGATTGATGGGATAAAACGAGACCCGGAACTTCATTGTTAAAGGTTTGAATTACTCCTTTGCCCAACTCAATTTTTGTTCTTTTCTTCTTTTTGTTATGAATCTGTCGTGATCATCAACAATAACGGCCTCGGGCGGGACAGGGTACCTCGAGGCACGATACCTTAGGGTGGGGTGGGGAAATTTTGAGGCTCCATGCCTCAGGGCGGGGGGGGGGGGGGGAGGAGCCTCGTGGCATGCAAGGCGCGTGCCTCAGGGCGGAGAGGGGGTGAGCCTCGAGGAACGCCACGGCGCTTTCCTCGGGTCAGGCAATCTCAGGGAGTAGGGGATTCCTCGGGTCAGGCATCCTCAGGCCAGGCATCCTCGGGTCAGGTGTCCTAGGGTCAGGCATTCTCGGGGAGTAGGCCTCCTCGGGTCAGGTATCAGGTCAGGCATCCTCGGGTCAGGCGTTCTGGGGTCAGGCATCCTCAGGTCAGGCATTCTCAGGGAGTAGATCAGGGGGTTCGAGGAACGCACGGTGCGTGCCTCGGGGCTGGGGTTCACGCACGGCGCGTGCCTTGGGGCGGGGGTCTCGAGGCACGCACGACGCTTTCCTCGGGTCAGACATCCTTGGGACAGACATTCTTGGGTCAGGCGTCCTCGGGTCAGGCGTTCTCGGGTCAGGCATCTTTGGGTCAGGTGTCCTCGGGTCAGGCGTTCTTGGGTCAGGCATCCTTGGGTCAGGCATCCTCAGGTCATACATCCTCGGGTCAGGTGTTCTCGGGGAGTAGGCCTCCTCGGGTCAGAGGGCCTCGAGGAACGCGTGTGCCTCAAGGTGGGGGGGGGGGGGGGGGTCACACACGGCGCATGGGAGTAGGCCTCCTCGGGTTAGGCATCCTCAGGTCAGGCGTTCTCGGGTCAGACATCCTCGGGTCAGGTGTTCTTGGGTCAGGCGTTCTCGGGGAGTAGGCCTCCTCGGGTCAGGGGGCCTCGAGGAACGCATGGGGTGTGGCTCAGGGTGGGGGGGTCACACACAGGGCGTGCCTTGTGGCGGAGGGGCCTCAAGGCACGCACGACACTTTCCTCGGGTCGGGTCAGGCGTTCTAAGGGAGTAGGGGATTCCTCGGGTCAGGCGTTCCCAGGGAGTAGGTCTCCTCGGGTCAGGCATTCTCTAGTCACGCATTCTCCGGTCAGGCGTTCTCGGGTCACACATCCTCGTGCCTCGGGACACGAGGCGGCGGGGGCCCCCGAGGAACGTAGGACGCGTGCCTCGGGGGGTCGGGGGGAGGCGTTGGGCCCTGAGGCACGCAGGGGGAGCCTCGTGGAACGGTGCCTCATGTCAGGCACAACCAAACATGCTTTGCACGAGCTCGAGTACTATGCATTCTTTGAGGAAATTCCTTTAACGGTAATATGCTTTCCAATTTCCCTTTTCCTTTCTTCAACTTCCATTCAAAATGGTACAAATTCATACATATTCCTTGCTACTCCCTTTCGCTGATCATCAATGGTTTTAGAGGTTAGAAAAAAGGGAAACCCCGTAAAGTTTTTTGGAGCTCTTGTTTCGATAGTTGAAACTTCATTATTTTGTGGCTATTTCGAGGTGTAAGCTGTCATGGTTAGCTGCTTGGCAAAAGGTAATCTTCTTTCTCCTTCCCTTCTTTTCTCGAGCATTAACTAGTTTCTAGCTTTGTTTCTTTTAGTTTATGATCCATGTCTGTTGTATTTCCTCATGTATTTAGTTAGTAGTTTAATTACATTTTCAACAGCTTATATTTGATGTTTCTGTCAACCAATATGAAAGTTTGAGTTTATTCTTAGTTTTTGTCGAGATGTATAAGCTTCCGTTGTTTATATGTTCATATAAAACCTGTGATAATTTGTAAAGGTTGGGCTTAATGAAGTCATCTCGGTTGAGTCTATTTGCTTAAGAATAACGTTGTCAAGCCGTCTCCCTTCAACACATGCGTTAATAAGAGTCTAAGTTTTTCTCTTGAAGCATTTGGTTTTTGTATAACTTTCCAGATAGACTTCCTGAAAGCTTTCAAATGCTCCCTTTTTATGTACGAATTTGTTTCTAAAAAATGACTGTGTCAACCAAGGAGGATACATACCATCGATTGATAGATATAAGAATGAATTGTTGTCTGCCTGCATATTTGAGATCTTATCTATTGGGATTTTCTTTACTTTGTTTTGGCTTCATTTCCAATTTCAGTCTCTTCTCAATGTATTTATGTAAGTTGGCATTTCTGTTTTATGTATTTCGAGATTGTCCAATGAACCAAATGATTGGGGATATATATTCTTGATCAGTTAAGGGCAAGATTCAGTTTTCTTTCTTAAGTCGTTATTGAAATGTCCATTTCTTTGTGCTAACAATTTCGAGCTTGCTGTGTATTTGAAATATGGGTGTCCTGTTTGAGTAGTATGTTTGCTTCAGTTTGGTTCTCTTATTACTCAAAGAAAGTAAAATAAAATTTAGATGTCTGTCTATTAGGCGTTCGCTCCGCAGCACGAACAGGTCGAGATGCGACGTCGATCACATCGGGTGGGGCGATTCTCCTAGAGCAGAGCTTGAAGCAAGGGTCAGAACTTTAGACGGGGCCTCTGTCGATAGAGCTAAAGCAGCTATTCATTAATCCACCCTCGACATTAACTGCTGGAATGTGCTATCACTCTTCTTCATCTCGTTTGCTCTTATTCTTAGTTTATGTTTGATCATAGCTGAAAGCTTGGGCGTTTTATCTCGGTCTTCTTTTTTTTTTTCTAGTCTTAATGTACAAGTTTAGTTTCATTATCAAAAAAAAGTATAGTTTCAAATTATCATTTTATCATAGAACCTCTGATTGTATGTGTCCTAGTTGGAGCTTTTTGAGTTTAGTTTACACAATATGATATGAATTCGGCCTTGAGTATCGTGTTCAGATTAGTGTATCGTTTCTCTTTATCTAATGTTTCTTGGCAATTCAATAGCTTTCTGATTCTATCTTGCTGTTTTGAGCGAGGTTTATTTCATTAAAATTGTGATAACCTACTCTTCTTTGGGAATTATTTTCAATAATTTCTTTAGTTAGCTTCTTTCCTGCTATGCATGTTATCTCTATTTGTGTGTCATAAAATGTTTCCTGTGAGTTCTGCATTAGTCATTTCTTTTAAATGGAGATTGCTCAGGTTCTATCAAGAGTTTTTAACTAATATGTAGACATTCTGGATGTTTGCCTTGTTGATAGCAAAATGTACTGTTATTTAGCTATGATTACTTGTGTAAGATATCTGCTTATTCCTTTTCTCTTACTTTGTTTCCCATGAACACTCTCCAAATGAGTCCTTGGACTCCCCACCTCTTGCATACTCCTCAAGTTCATGCGTCAACCTCCATCAAGTTCGAAAAGGGAAGCTAATATTATTGGGTTAAAACTCAAATCAGTGGCAGCAGTTTAGTAGCAGAGTGAACGCTGGAAATTAATTTGATCATTGCTGCAGCAGCAGCCCAAAGGGCTAAAATGAAGATTTTTTTTGGACTCTAAAAGTCCGATAATAACTCAGCAGCAGCAGCCACTGATTGCTTTTGGACCCAAAGTCCAGATTCTTTCAAATTTTATATGATATGATATGATGATTCAAAAGATCAAAGGGGTAATGTTTCCTATCCAGTAAAATTTACTCAAATTATTTCATTCAGTCTAATGATTTGTCAAGTTATCGAAAACCACCTCTCCAGTTTACTCTCTCTAGACCCCACTTTATGGAATTACACTGGCTATGTTGTTGTTGTTCAAGGAGTTCATGAAATCCCACCAAAAGTTATCTTCTCTTTCTATTTTCTTATAAAAAAAATGCACGCTATTAGTACAATTTATGTCTTTGAAGTTTGAAGAGAGGAAAGGGGGGATGTTTCATATATGACAAACACTATTGGAAAACTCAATTTCCAGAGACATAACTTTTATAAACAAAATAAATGACATTAAGAAAAGTATGTCGCGGGATGATCAACATTTTATTCTTCATAGTTTTTTCGTCTTATATAATACAACATTGAGCATACAGGGAGACTTATTTAGAGGTAGATGTAGAAGGAAAGGTAGAAGAAGAGTGATCAGTACCCTTTGTGTCAGTTGAAAAAAAGACTGATTGGTTTTCACTAGAAGTTACCTGCATCTCATCATATTTGTCTCTTAAACCTTGAAAATTAAATTCATCACCGTAGCCACTTGAATCAAAGTTAGACTCATCGACGTTCAAACGACCTTCAAGCATGTTCACCACTGCAGACATGTTTGGCCTTAGTGCTGGAGATGGATTAGTACATCGTAATGCCACTTTAATCATCCTCAACGCCTCCTTCTTGTCGTAATTGGAACCTAACCTTGGGTCTACTAGCTCCAAAAACTTGGCTTTTTTTTGTACCACCAGGGCCTGAAAGAAGCACAATATTGAATGGGAGAACTTGTGAAAGATACTTTTTGAAATACTACCAAGTCTACTTGATCAACACAAAATGAAGTTCTCATCAAGCAAACTGAGACGTGCTTTAAATGTTCACTATTTATGGAACTGATACCAAGAGAATGCTGGTTTCTTACCCAATCAAGAAGACAGACATAATTCTCATCAGGATGATATTTCATGTTGTTCTTCCCAGCAACGAGTTCTAATACAACCACTCCAAAACTGTATAAATCTGCTTTATGTGTTAAATAACCCCAGAGTGCATATTCAGGGGCCATATAACCTCTGCAAAAACAAATTAACAAAGTTATACGAGCTTGACTGAACAGGAACGTCCTGAAAGGCTTAAACTAATGCTCTATACCTCAACACTAGGTAAAAATGGACAGCAGAAGTAATTGAAACCTTCCATTATAAAACTGATTGCCAGAGTTTGACTTACATGGTTTTGAAGAGAATAATCTCTACTAGTTTATTATAGTTGTAAAATAAAACACGGATTTTCAAAAGACGAGTAGCTTTGAAGAATAATGTGAAATGATAGATAACCTTTATAATCTGTTGAACTCTTGGGATCAGTAAGGTGCTAGCCATAACCTTTTGGAATTATATAATGAGTAAAGATTACATTCAGGAAAAAGAGAAGTAACTGACAGTGGAGACCTACTTGCCAATATATGCAAGTCCCAGTCCTAACAGAAGAGGATAATATGTTACTGGAAGGTAATTTTGACGAAGAAGAAGTTTTAAGAGCCCTAAAATTATGTGTGGTGGATAAAGCTCCTGGCCCTGACGGTTTCACTATGGGATTTTTTGTGAAATGTTGGGAGGTGGTAAAGCAGGACATCATGGATACTTTTCAAAACTTCTACGAACAAGGAATTTTTGAGAAGAGCTTTAATGCAACATTCATAGCACTAATCCCTAAGAAGAAAGGAGCAACTGAGCCAAGAGAATTTAGGCCTACAAGCTTGATTGCAGTATCTACAAACTGACTTCCAAAGTCTTGACTGAGAGATTGAAAGGAGTGGTGGACAAACTAGTAGATTCCCAACAAATGGCCGTCATAAAGGGGAGACAAATCATGGATGCTGCCCTGATTGCTAATGAAGCTGTAGATTCAAGACTTCAGCAAAAGAAGCCTGGTAATCTTTGTAAATTGGACATTGAGAAAGCCTATGACCATGTGTGCTGGAGTTACCTTCTAAATCTTCTAGAAATGATGGGTTTTGGACAGAAATGGCTGAAGTGGATAAATTATTGCATCTCAACAGTTGGTTTTTCAGTACTTGTGAATGGCTCCCCAGCAGGTTTCTTTCACACTCAAAGAGGGCTTAGACAAGGTGATCCTCCGTCACCTTTTCTATTCCTTTTAGCAATGGAGGGACTAAGCATAATGATTAAGACAGCAAACCTAAGAGGATGGATCAGAGGGTTTGAAGTTGCCAAGGAAGGGACCGAAAGCATGGAAGTGACACACCTTCAATATGCAGATGATACTCTTATTTTTTGTGGTGCTAAGGAAGAACAACTGAAGTATTTAAGGGTAATTCTTGTGTTATTTGAAGGAGTATCTGGTTTGCATATCAACTGGAGGAAGAGCCTAATGTATCCTATAAATGATGTCACCAACATGAACTAGCTAGCTACTATACTTGGTGGAGAAGTTGGCAGTCTGCCAACAGTTTACTTGGGACTACCTCTGGGGGATAAATCTAAATCTATAAAAATATCGAATAGTGTGATAGAGAAGTGTGAAAAAAAGCTAGCCAGGTGGAAAACTCAATACCTCTCCCTAGGAGGAAGATTGACTCTCATTAACTCGGTCCTTGATACTTTACCAACTTATACGATGTCTTAATTTCCCATCCCACCAGGGGTTATCAAAAGGTTGGACAAAATTAGAAGAGAGTTTTTGTGGCTGGGAAACAAAGAAAAGAAAGGATACCACCTGGTAAAATGGAAAGCTGTGATGACTGCTAAGAAGAATGGGGGCTTGGGGATTAAGAATCTGGAATTTCAAAGCAAAGCTCTAAGGATGAAGTGGTTATGGAGATATGCAAATGACAATCAATTGTTGTGGAGTAGGGTCATTGGTGCCAAATATGAAGATGAAGACAATTGGATGACAAAGGTGGTGACTAATCCATATGGGGTTAGTTTATGGAGATCTATAAGAGACATGTGGGATGAAGTGAGGAACAACTCAAAGAAAAAAGTGATGAATGGAAGAAAGACCAAGTTTTGGAAGGATGAATGGCATGAAAAAGGCAACTTGGAAGCTTTATTTCCAGATATTTTCAATCTAGCTTTGTTCCAACAGAGATCCATAGCAGAGTTATGGACGCCACAGGGGTGGAACTTTGCCTTTAGGAGGCATCTAAATGACTTGGGAATTATGAGAGTTGCTGAATTCCTTAACACAGTGGACACCTTCAATGGGCTTCAGATTGGGGAGGATAAATTATGGTGGAGTGGTAACAACAAAGGGGTATTCAAAGTTAACGAAGCTTACAGGATGATGGACCAACCTAGTAATCATAATATAAACTGGCCATGGAAGCAAATTTGGAAAAATAGGATACCTTACAAAATATCCTGTTTCATCTGGTTTTAGCCAAAGAAGCAGCTTTGACTCAAGACAATGTGATGAAGAAAGGGGTAACCTTATGCTCAAGATGTTTTCTTTGTAAGGAAACATATGAGACAGTGAACCATCTGTTTCTACACTGCACTTACACCCTTAAGCTGTGGAGAATATTTCTAAGTCTCATAGGCATCTCCTGGACCATGCCCAGGAAAGTCTCAGGGGCGCTGAAGAGCTGGGAGGAAGCAGGAGTACATGCTAAAAACAGAGATAGATGAAGAGTTATCCCTGCTGCTATATGGTGGTCAACCTGGAAAGAGAGGAATTCTAGGTGTTTTGAGAGCATAGAGAATAGTTTGCAGAAGGTTAAACTAAACTGCATTATGTTGTTATGTTTTTGGTGTAACCAGATATACTCAAATGAAACTGTCTCTATAGTTGATGTTCTAGACTCAATTTAGGTTCAGGACAGTGAAATTTGCAGTACATATGTATATAAAGTTTCAGTACAACCCATGTACTGGTTGTGATATAATACCAAGTTACTAAGTTCAAAAAAAAGAGAAGTAATTGATCAGTGTTATCAAAGGCGCACTTTAAGCGCGCTTAAGCCCTGAAGTGAGGCTCAAAACGTGTTGAGCGTTTCACCTCGCTTTATGTGCACTTTAGTGTCGTCATTAAGGTTCTAAGGCAAACGTTTCCTTGCCAATGAGCTTCGTATGAAGAAGTGACACTAAATAATTGATATTTCACTTTATCATAAAAAAAAATTCAATTTCTTTGGACATATATTTGTCATTCATGTTTATAATTATTAGTCTTGGACTAAACATATATATTTGTATTCTTTTCTCCCTTTGCGCCTTTTTTCATTAAAGCCCACGCTTTATTTGCACTTTGCAATTAAAGCCCTCACGGACCTTAGAGCTTTTTTGCGCTTTTCACCTTTGATAACACTGTAACTGATATGACCTAAATGGAAGGATGACATTCAAAAGGGAGTATTTTGAACAACTAAAATTTGATCAATCAATTAGAGTAGTTTAGAAAGCTCACATAGTCCCAGCAACCCTGGTGGTGACATGTGTTTTCTCCTCGTCATGAAGTTTGGCCAGACCAAAGTCTGAGATCTTTGGATTTAGGTCTTTGTCAAGGAGTACATTGGTTCCTTTGATGTCTCTATGAATCATCTTTAGAGGTGATTCTTCATGTAGGTAAGCCAAGCCTTTAGCTATGCCAACACAGATCTTTTGCCTAGTTGGCCAGTCCAGTTTCGGTTGACAGTCTTCAGGACCTGCAATTTACTACAAATTGAAACTAGGCCAATATTCACACAAAATTATGTATGCAGACAGATGAAGATATAAACTAGAGAATCATGCCAGTTACGTTATTGAGGGAAAATTGGGATCACCAAACTTCTTTTTGTTTTGGTGTGGTGTCCTTTTTTACTTTTACCTCAAGTAAACAACGGTAGATAACCAGTGTAATCCCACAAGTGGGTCTAGGGAGGATGGTTCATACGTAGCCTTACCCCTACCCTGTGAAGGTAGAGAGTCTGCTTCCAATAGATCCTTGGCTCAAGTAAAGCATATCAAAATCAAGTTCGAAAAATAACATTTACCAAACAAAACATGGGAAAGGTTATTGTTCTCCATGTACTCATAAACTAGTAAAAGTTGGTTCCGTTCAACACAGCATCCGTAGAGTCGGACGAGATTTGGGTGATGTAAGCCTGACATCATGCCTATTTCATTCACAAATTCACGGTTCCCTTGTCTTGACTTGGATGAAAGCTGTTTGACAGCAATTATAGTACCATCTGCTAGTGTACCCTGAGCATTAAAAGAAATGCATGAAGTTCATAAATCATTTCCGATAACATCCAGTAGGATTTCCACAGGGAGGGATAAGAAGGAAGAGTTATGAGAATTTGTATATATATTCACCTTGTAGACAGATCCAAATCCACCTTCACCAAGCTTATTTGCAGCATCAAAGTTACTTGTGGCAGCTTTAATTTGTCTGAAAGTAAATATACCAGTTTGCAGATCTAGTCCTCTTAATTCTACACAACAGTAAAGGAACAAGTTTAGGATGTTTGTTTCCCACAAGATAAATAAAAGAAAATGTTAGCTTGAAAAGCATACAAGAAATTCTGGAAAGTTTGCACCTTCTAACCTATATTCATCACCCTTGTTTTCCCCAACCTTTAACTAGTGAAATCATGAATTTGGATAGCATATAAGTTTAATGTAGCAGGAAGTCTTCCAAATTGATAATTACACCTAGTATTTCATATGGTACAATCATTCACATGTACTTCAATTTGTAAAACCACTCAATTTCTGGATTCACCCAGAATGCAACAGAAGTTTTTTTAATTACATTCTACTTGTCAGGCATAAACCAAAATTGAGGTCTAGAGTCACCTTGTTCCATCAATTTCCTGTTTCTTCTTTTCTTCCAAGCAACAAAGAAAATCATCAAAACGAGAGCTAAAGAAGACGTCACTGCTCCAGCTACAATTAGAATCTTCTTTTTCTGATTAGAAGAGGTCTCCTGCGGAGGAGGGGGCTTGAAGTCTAATTACAGAACGAAAAGTTCAACAATGTTAGACACTCTGGAATTTACTTGTATACCGGAAATCATAGATATTATGCATAACTTATTCAATGAGAGAACATCTAATCTATAGCTTCTTGAGCTTCAACCATATAATCATGAGTAATCCTGTACGGATTCCAACTCTGAAAAGGTCTTAATTTTTAAATAAGATGCAAAGGTGAGTAACTTTTGTGAAGAAGACTTTCTCACTATGTGACAGTGAAGAAGAAGAGATGCTACACCTAAAAAATTAAAGTGAAGACAGAGTATTACTAGCTTCCAGAGAGATGGCAGATACTAAAGGACCATAGTGTCCACTAATCGGGATTGATGTAGTTCCTTTCCCAGCATGCTGGAAGCGCACTTGTACAGTTTTATCTTTCACTGTTACATTAAACTTTTCTTTCAAAGCTTTATCAACTCCTCCGGCTAGTCTTTTAATATCAAAATCTTTAAACTTCAATTTGTCCTGCATCCATTTAAACTAAATCAGCTGCAGCTAATTGGATATTTTACTGTATCTAATTCTCTGACATGCTGGTTCACCTGTATGTATACATCAAATATTCGTCTTCCAAGACTTTGGAAAGATTGGTTGTCTCTGTAAACTATTTCTGCGAAATGAAGTGTCAAAGTGTAGTTTCCATTTGCCAAGCAACGTCCAAAGTAAGTCATAGATAAAGGGGAGAGGTGAGCTGTCATGTAAAGTTGAGATTCATCTCCCTTGATAGCAGATACATTTTTTGCTTTGTGGTCATTCAACGATACGTCGGTATCCCAGAAATGTCCTGTACTGCTGGTTCCCCAGTTCCCTTTCCAGTAAACAAACTTTGCAGCACCTGCTGAGTCTTCATCTGCTATATAAGTAGTGTCTCCAACAGTTACATTTCCTCCACCACAATTTATGTGCAATGAGTACTTGTCTGCAATATTCAAACCAGAGATAGGTTACTAGACTCAATGAATATATTTCAGAAATATAAGACAATGATAAAACTGTTCAGTTCTTGTAGATTGTCATAGAAACTGTGTAGTGCTAAAATGTTTTCCATGACCTAACTAGTTTACAAAAGTAACCAAATTATGCCTTCCTACTCATGTCTATTGATTGTCAACAAGAAGCTGGTAAATCCTGCACAATGGAACAATATCAAACAAAAGATTTAGATGAGACGGTAGAATTCTGCAAAGAGTGAGTACTCACCCTCTGAACACGGCCTGGCTGAGAAGCACTTCCCGCGCTCTCTGAAGTAGTTGAAAAGGTGTCAGAGAGGACAAGTTGTTTTTAAAGAATAATAGTCAACAGTTTATTTGACATTAAACGCTTACACAAAATTCTCGACCTTAAAGCTTCTGAATAAGTTTCTGATAAGAAAAGAAAACCAAACATGAAATCATCTGAACCATATATGCATAAAAGAAGATAGGAGAAAGTGTAGACACACAAGGATCATACAGGTTGTCCCGACAGGTAGATGGTTCAGAGCTTTCATCAAATTTATTGTAGGAAAGGTCTATCACACTGCATCAAAGATATCCGACATGGTTAAGAGCTCATCAAGTACTTTCAATCTAATGAGAGGCCTTCACTTAGAGAAAATAGATTTAAATGCAATGAAATTAATGACAATTCAGCTAGTTAAATCTCAATATCTTTGTTTATTGCCCATCAAACTAATTTTCACAAAGCTATCATTGTTCCTCACAAAAAAACTTACAGAGGCAAGACTCAAGAATTCAAGTTCTGGACTAGGTATCTATGAATGACTTTTTAATCTGATTCTCTATGTGAGCAACCACATTTTTGGTTGTGACCTTTAATGCTTCCTTCTATAGCTGTCACCCTGTTATATAATCCTACCTTGAAGTACATGTCCTTTGTTAAATCAAATTTTAAATAGTGACTAGTGTATATGGAAAAGCAAGACAAGAAATTATACTTACTTTCTGGTATCTCGACTAGTAAGCCAATCTGGAATTTGCCCAACAAAATCATTGCCAGTCAGATACCTAGCAAGCAGGAAATATTTGATTTAACTAGGAGATCACAAATTTGAAATGCAATATATGCATTACATGTTCAATAACATGATCCCATTTATCAGCTACACACAAAAATGGAAAGATATTGCCAATCAAATGAAGACTCATTTTTCGGTGCAGCTCATGAGAGAATACTACTGAGCTATAAACAAACCATCTAACATCAAAATCTTAAAACTTCGTGGGCAAAAAAAAAAAGAAATATCATGTAAAGGCATTTGCCATCTAAGACTGTTTCTGTCATTGAGGCAATTTTCTTCTTTTCTTCAAATGAAAGAAAAGGGCTTGAGCATTTGGAAAGGATACAGAAGATTGATGGATGAGCCATCAACAGTCTTATAGTAAGACTAGTATAATGAAACAGAGATGCAAAAGATATATTTCCACATAAAATTGTAGGAATCTTCATGTTGTTTTGACTTACGTGGCCTCCATCTTATTCACACCCTCGAGATTCGCAATTCCTCCTTCAAGCTTGTTGAAACTCAGATCTCTGCAATGAACAATAACCAGAGTCAAACTCAAAACAATGTTCAATCCCATTGGCTGAACAAACTATAGCACAATTTGTTAAAAGCTTAATTAAGTTTAGATAAAGGATAGAGAAAATGAAAGCTCCGATGACATGTTTGTAAAGACCACTTTGTTTCAAGAAAGAATGAACATTGGTCCATTCAGCGGAAGTGAAGTATGTTGTTTGCATTTATTCAATATTCAATAACCCATTGATCTCTCCCATTCAAAAAGAGGAGGCTAGTAGAAGGAAAAGAAAAAAATGAAAAAGTCCAGAGGAGAGTCGGACATGCACAAAACGTTTTGCTTTAAGTGGATTGGACACAGCTTTGTATAGCAGGAAAAGGGAAAAAAATCATTAAGGAAAAAATTGAAATAAATTCAATAATACTTTGAAAATAGTGGAATTACAAAAACCGTAAGTTGACCATTTCAGCTACAGAATCATGAATATTCCCATGTATATTACAGCTTCTCAAAACCCTGCAGTCAAAACACAGTTTCAGAGAATTGACTTTCCTTGATAAAGGATGTGTTGGAAATTCCATTTGCAATTCCCAAATCATCAAGTACTCACAATTTAGACATCCTGGTCATGTTTGTAAGTGATGGAAATTCTGAAGCACCTCCGTTGAGGTCACTGATTCTTCTGTATATGCATCATCTGAGCCTTAATTATCTTGATTTCTACTTTGCTTAATCATAAGAACATTGCAAAAAGCAAAATAAACTTTTCATATAAAGTGTAAACTTACAGTTCTTCCAAACTGGTCAAAACAGAAAAACTTGGGGGTAGTGGTCCTTCAAATCCAGAACCTTCAATTTCTCTGTCAAAAGAGCATATACTAATTCTACTGGAAATTCTGACTTGTACAAATATTACCAAGTGAAAATACTCACAACTTCTGGAGGTTTTTCCAACTCTCAAAGTTAGGCAGTTTACCAACAAAGCTGTTACTGGTTATCCTACTGTGTTGATGCCAAAAAGGAAAGCCAAGAATTCAACTTTACATATGTGGAAGAAGACTAGGAAATCTCATCTCAGATGTATATTCAAATACACTCACAGTTCAATCAATTTCGTAAGATTATTCAGTTCCACTGGCCACTCTCCTGTGAAATTATTAGCTTTGAGAATGCTGCAACAATCAAAGTTCATAGAATTTAGAATCAAATCCAGCTCACACTTGATCTGCTCTAGTAAAAACACAATAATTTAAAAGCAACCACTCATTCATTTAAAGTGATTAAGCAATTGGAAGAGGTGTCCTTGCTAAGCATGGGTGAAGTAAAACAACCTTGAAGAAGCATGTGCCTAAAGAAGTAACACGCAAAACAATCCGCACAGGCATGATTTTTAAAAATTAAAAAGGGGATAAAAAGACCTTTTTTTTTCATTTGAGTACTAGGGCTCCTCTCTTCATATGCTTAGTGATCTCTTCGTTGTCTCTTTCTACTTCTTCTTGGGTTCACTACGACTCTTCTTCTACTCTGTTTATTCTAGATTTGATTCTTTCTTATTTTTCTTCTCCTTCTGTGTGTGTCTTCTTCTTTTCCACTTCTAAGTTGACGATAATTTCAATTGGGAAACCAGCAACCGCTACCCTTTGGGAACAGGGTAAAACCCCCGCTCCTATGCAATAGCTCGCAAACCACATAGGAGAGGTAACCCGCACTAGGCAAGCCCGGCACGACGAGCTCGACCCAGAAAGCAAACCCCTTTCTTTTGCTGGCAAGGGGTTTCAAACTTGAGACCTCCAACATGGAAAAATTATTTTTCTTTTTCTTTTTCGTTCTCTCTATTTCATTTTCTATTTCTAACATCTTTATTCATGTACATTTTAACGATGTTTTGTAAGAATTTTTGGAATTAAGTATGTTATTGTTGTATATGATATTGAAAGTAGTAGAGTCAGTTTGCAGTTTTGATGTTACAAATAATAAATTTCCATATGTTAGCTATTTTAGTGTTTCATCCTAAAATTATACGCTTTACTTCAAAGAAGGTACACTGTACACGTGTCTTGCTTCTCACTTATTAATAGTCTCAGAAGCAATTCGAATTATTGCACTTCTTGCTTTCTAAAAGACTACGGAGATGCATTTATCATCAAACACAACATGCCCTCATTGATGACAGTTATAAGCTATGACCTATTCCTCCTATCTTGATGGACGGTGACCAAGTATGGAAGCATAACTCTCTTATCATTAAGAATAACCTCCACACCACGGCCTTTGCTAATGACGGGACCTTGCAAAGAACTGCATCCTACAAAGGTGCTTAAATTAGAATCTTAACCAAACACAACGAAGAACCCCTTTGCACGGTACTTAGCATAAAATGAGGCTCTCAGGTCTCCAGGCGACAATGGTTGGCTCTCAAAACCCACAATATTGACCATGTTTTCAAACAATTTTGATCAGAAATTCAGAACATCCTCACTTGAACTCAACATTGTATCACTTTCCCTTCATTGGAAGTACACTTACATAGCCTTAATACCTGGAGCCGTATCCTATATCTCTTGCCTTACTTCTCCTTTCTATAGTACCCCAATGTACCAGACAAAGCATTGTCCCCAAGAGATAGTAGAATGGTTAAGATATAGGAGTGTATCAGACAAAGCATTGTCCCCCCAAGGAGATAGTTGAATGGTTAAGATATAGGAGTAACAATTTGAAACTCAGCAACAACACTCGATGTGAGCTCATCTGCTCTAAGTCATCTGCTCTAAGTCTCTAACCTAGGTGGACAGGCTTATTAGCACATGTGCTTGTGGGATGTAGTAAGCTATCATGTGGACCAATTGAGATGTGTGCAAGCGTGCCTGAACACCACAGCTAAAACATTGTACCAAACGAAACATCTATACATGGTCACCTTGCAAATACTGCTCACTCAGTCTCTCATTTTGAATTTTCATAGTCTACTCCCTCAACAACCATCTCCAATTCTCCATTCTATTTTTTAGCTTCATTTCACTTTTAACTCACGATCACATCTTCCACACAATACAAACAGTAAATTGACTTGTGAAAATTAGTTAGGAAATAGAAGAGTAAGAAAGACTTACAGAATCTGTAAATTGACCAGATTCCCTACTTCTGCTGGTAACGATCCATTAAACAAGTTAGTCTCCAAACTCCTGAAAAATTATGATGACTTCAGAATATTTCAAGTAGTCAGGTACAGTCAGTCTGTCTGAGAAAAGTGAAGCAAGGGATCTTACAATATCACAAGTGAGGTCATATTTCCTATGTACTCTGGGACATGCCCAGATAACCGATTATTAGAAATAGCCCTGGAAAACTTCAAATTCATGAGAAGCCCTAAATGAAAGGTTAAATTTTAACAATGTATATGAATAAATTGTCTCACATGAATTCCAACTTGGTAGACGCCCATTCAGGCGGAATTGTACCACTTAAGTAGTTGCGGTTGAGATCACTGAAAAAAAAGGTAAAATCATAATGATTTTAAAAATAAGTAAAATTCAAACTGATTTTCTAACAATCGTTCTGGATGCTCAGTGTACATTTTCTTCAGATATGGTAACTTCGCCAGCGATGCAGGGAGGACACCTGAAAGATCCTGTCCTTTGAGAAATCTGTTAGCAATTAGAGCAGTCGCTGTCAGAATCACTAGATATTAGAATTAATCCTGTCCAGTTTATATAATCTCAATCAGTTTCATAATGCAATGAAGTGGCAATTAGATAAATAATTCCAGAAACAGTCATGTTCATCAATGTGAAATTTGAATATTTAGATAAAGACATGGTATTCTAACAATAAATCTAATACCAATCTATTATAAGCTTATACCTAGTATCATCTAACAACTTTTATTTATTCGAGATATCAACCAAAACAGTAGAAGTAATCCAAACCAAGGGTATGTTTATAAGTGGGATTCTTACTTATATTGTGGTGTTTGGTAAGTACGCAAAAAAAATACTATCCCAAAAACATTTGTAATTAGTTTACGCAAATACTATGAGGGATGGGGGTGAGGGTAGGATGTATTAGAGGGTGGGAGAAGACAATCAATGTAGAATGCCACTATGGAACTTGTTTTCCTCAGTTCCATTACCGAAGACATTTTCCTTATTTATAACGAACTTGTATTCCTAGAAAAAATCTTCTCCAAAAATTGTTAACCAACCAAACATAGGAAAATTAAAAAAACATATTTTAGAAAATGTTTTCCTTCATACCAACCACACCCTAATAAGGTCCTCAATATAACTAAAATTTGGTCTTAGCAGTTTAATCTGGACATTTAAAACCAAACATAAGTCAAGAATTTTCTTCTAAATAGAAATTCAGTAAAGTTCTAAACTGAAACAACTTTAAAGTAGGCAGAAGCAGAACTACATTAACCCATCAATTTTCATAACTTCATCAACTACTTAACAAAACACATTCATTTGAGAGAGGGACTTACATATTTTCCACATGACAAAGATTATCAGGGAAAGTGCAATTGCATTCTAGGGTATTGTTATACAAAGGCATATCTTTCCTTTTGGGTGTGCTCCAATTTGAGTTCCCATCACAAGGGTTTAGCTTAAAATCCCAATCTTTTTTCCCCAATTGATCAGCTATTTCTCTAAGAGCTTCCACTGCCAATCAAAGTAAATGGGCATCAACTTTTTTCACATACATTTAACTAAAAAATGAAAAAGTTCAAATCTTTTTACCTTCATCTTTAGGAAGTTGACCAGTTTGTGCTTCAATGTTGCCTGCTGTAAAGCAAATAACTATGGTGAAGAAGATGAGAAAGAAACTGAAGATTCTTGGCATGGTCCCTTAAACTTCAAAAACTTGAGTACTACTCATATGAAAATTTAAGAGATCTTTTTGGGTCTTTTTCTGAGAAAATGAAGTTGCTCTGAGGAAAAAATTGTTTTAAAAAATGGAGATGATTGATTTGAGGAGAAGAAGACAAGTTGCTGAAAAAGATTTGAACTTATTGCCTATGGGGGCGATGATGCTGAACCTTTTTTACTACTTCTCTATTTGACAGTATACTATGTTTGTTTGTTTATGGTTTTTGTGACACAAAATCCTGTGTACCTGCATGAGAAGGAGAATTTAAAATGAAAATGCTCTTTCCTTCTACATAAAGTTACTTTTACTCCCATTTTTAAATAATTAGGTTTCACATGGCATGGCAGATAATATTAATACTAAATAATTACAATTCACATCACATATTTCATTCAAATAAGTTTTTATTAATTATTTTTTTTAAAAATAATCTGAGTTATAATTATTGTGACTTACTATGTAGTTTTCAAATATATAAATCTTATTTCAAAAAGTTTAACATTTTCATACCTGAACTTACGACCAAAATAAAATTATTGAATCTCAAAATTTGAATGGTACCACATAAATTGAAACAGATAGAGTATTATATAGGACACCTAACCCATACTCTACCTTCATAATATTTATTTAAATTATGTACAATAATTTTTAGATAATATTTTTCATTTTAGTATTGAACACGAAAAAGTAACAAAAGTTAGCTTATTTTTCCATAAAATATTTCATTTATCCTGTTTTGACAAATGTAAAAAAGTCATACCGACACAAAATTAAAAGGAGCACGTGGGAAAAAAGAGGAAGTATTATATATAACAGTCTACGTGTCATTATACTTAATCCGTTATATCAAAAATAGATATTTTTATTTATCTATCTAATCAAAATAATTTTATCACTTTTTTATGGTATTCTAATTCTTAGTATTAAATAAGAACTACTAATAATTAAATTTATAATTCTAAAATATCATTAATAAAGTTAATTTGAGCGTAAACAGGCCAAGTAGAATCAAATAATATGAATAAAGGGAGCATGCATGAAGCCAATCTAGAAATTGGTTTCACACTAATAACACTATTATGATAAAATAAGATAAGCATGCCAGCTGGCAGCTGGTACCTACTTTTACATCATTTAGTTAAACTTACTTAATTAAGAGACTAAGTTCATGTTTATAATTATTATTCAACTTGTGTCCTTTCATCTCTTTTTGTTTTTTTACTTTTATTATTTCTCTCTCTTTTTTTGATTTTGTGAGTAGCCTGTTTTGAATGTCTGACTATGATTTTCAAGAGACCAATGTTTAAGACTACCTTTTAGTGGCTACTAAAATAATTTTAACACTTAACATTCAAATATAAATCAATCATGTCTTCATATTTTATAAGAAGAAACTATTTTTTCATATAATATATATTAAAGAAAAATGAAGGTGTATTATCTTTACGAAATAAAAGAAAAGGTCTTAGCTAAATTCGCATAATAAATATATCATTATAGTGTCAAATGATCAAGATCAACTTATCAAAAATATTTTGAAAAAACAGCAATTTCTATTTGAGTGATAATTTTTTAAAATAGCTTTTACGTATTAAAAAATAGACACTACCTAAATATACTTGGTTTGTTTTTTTACCAAACACTTTTATTCTTAAAAAAACAAGTGCATTCAGAAATTTAAAAAGTATATATTTCGTCTTCTAAAAATTTGGCCACTATCAAACTCATAAAACAACAGTTTGAAACTTTTCAATTGGAGACCTTTGACTTTTCCTTGAACAAATATGTAAAACATGCATATCATCAAATATTGCTTCAGTTGGTTATCTTTTTGTTTACGTTAACAAAACAATTAGTATAATATTATTAAATAATTATTATTTACATTCATCATGTTTTGTTTACTCCAATCTAATCCATGTTGCCTGACAGGGCAGAGCTAGGTAGGACGAGGGATTCAAAGTTAGTGCATTCTATCGTAAATAGAACTCTAGCTCTATTTGTGATGTTGAGTTTTTGTTGAGTAATATTATTTTTCGTGTGAAACTACACTGGGTTGGGTGTATGTGTTGTTCGAAACGACCAATAATATTCTAAAAGCATTTTATAAAACTGGTATTGATGGTGTGATCAGAGATGAGAATTTAGATTATGTTTCTCGGGACACTTTAAAAATACCGACGAGTGCGTGTCGGATGGATTTGACGCTGGTGTGGTAAAGTTTTGGAGAGTTCGAGAAACATAGTGGAGAAAAAAGTGTAACAAAAAGTTGTCATGTTTCAAAAGTGCAGCAGCAGAAGAAAAAAATGTTGCATCCTTTGCCTCAAAACTGAAACATGTATTTACATTAGACAGCAAGCCTGCTATAAAAAAATTGAACAAATTGCTTAATTACAAGTATAAATACACGTGGAGGTGGTCTAGCACCCTCGAGAACACAAGAAGTTAGAATGAGCCAGGCTTACCATGGATGAAGTGACATTACGTGTCTGTTTGATCTTGAAACTGAACTTAATCGAACATATTAGTTGTAGATGCAGAAGAAGAGCCCATGTCAGTTCGAATAGTTATGGTGTTTTGAGTTTGGGTTTGAATTAGCTTCTGATTTTGCCTCTCTTGATGAAAATCTTTCATGGCTTTAAACCTCAGATCATTGGAATAAGTACTTGCCTCTGGAATTTCATCTGGAATAGCGATTCGTCCTTCAAGCATAGACACTACCTCGGACATGATAGGCCTGAGTGAGGGAGTGGCACTAGTGCACAAGAGTGCCACTTTTACTATTTTTTCCACTTCTTGTTTATTAATATCAGACCCCAATCTCTGATCTATGAGCTCCTCTATACTCCCACTCAGATGCAAATGACAGGCCTGTAACAGTGTAGCTTTTCAGGCACAGCCAGTAATTTCAATGGAAGAGTGAAAAAATGAAGAAAGAATTGGAAGATCTTTATATTGCCATCGAAACATTCAAGCTGAGCCTTGATAAGAGAGATACAACAAGCAAACAGGGATCAGATTTATACCCAATCTAAGAGACAAATGCTAGTGTGGCTCGGCATGTAGTTATTGTTGTTCTTTCCACTGACAGTTTCCAAAAGTACAACTCCAAAGCTGTAAACATCTGCCTTGTCAGTCAAATAACCCCAGAGTGCATATTCTGGTGCCATGTATCCTCTGCAAGTGTTAAGATTAGAAGGTTTGTCAACGTAAAATACTTTAGACTTCCAGCTGGAAAAGTAGTGACCTTACATTGTTCCAGCAACTCGAGTACTAATATGGGTCTTCTCATCTTCAGTGAGTCTAGCTAGTCCAAAGTCGGAGATTTTGGGATTGAGCTGTCCATCCAGAAGCACATTGGTAGCTTTGATGTCCCGATGTACAATTTTTAGGCTTGATTCCTCATGTAGAAAAGCTAGACCTCTTGCTATTCCGAGACAGATCCTAAACCTTGTGGGCCAATCCAGATTCAATCGGCTGTTCTCTGAACCAGAAAATTCACCACTGAAAATCTTGACCCAGAGGATAACTAGATTTATACATAAAGAGGACACGGAGTAATTACCAAACAAAACGCTCGCAAGGCTATTGTTATCTAAGTATTCATATACAAGCAGTAACTGGTCTGCTTCAATACAGCACCCATGAAGCTTAACCAGATTGGGGTGTTGCAAGCAGGATATCGTGCTAATCTCATTCAAGAATTCACGGTTGCCTTGCTTTGATTGAGAGGAGAGCTGCTTCACTGCAACTAATGTACCATCAAGTAATTGACCCTACACGAAATCAGTTGTTAGATTCCACGGGGTAAGAGGATAGAACCAGTGCGCAGCAGCTAAAGGCAGATGAATTATGAGCTACATATGTATTTCCATGCTCAAACTCAGAAGGTTTGGGTAAATAGAATTTGAAGGTTTACATGTTTATGGAAACAGCACCAAGTCTCGTAGGCAGAGGTACAATGTGACATGATGTACAAGTAAAAGAAAAATCACTAGTCTCCAATTATAAGCATACCTTGTAAACTGGACCAAAACCACCTTCGCCAATCTTGTTTGAAGCATCAAAATTTTTAGTGGCAGTTTTTATTTGCTTCAGAGTAAAACAAACCATCTGCAGCTCTACGCCATTGAGATCTGTCCAAAAAATAAGGTAGAGATGAGTTACAGAATTTTGTGTTCTCTTGTGATAAATAAATTCTTATCATTGCATTAGCATTGACATGGCTATCTTTTTCTTGAAATGGTAAACCCCACTGCTCCTAAACTCTTACACAAATACCTACTGTTCTTAAAATTCATGTACCAGTAAGATTTGATACAACGAAGATGTGTAACTAGCATTAATTGAGGTGTTTCTAGATTTGAAACAATAATTATGAGTCTCCTAGATTTTCATAAAATAATGAATCTCCTAGGTCAAGCTATTACATTAAACAAGACTTTGGATTTCAAGACCTTCAATATGATTAATCATTTTAAATAGATAATAATAATAGTCGTGCAAAATAATAAAAAATTACTTCCTTCATTACGCTCGTGTTTTTAGTTTGAGTACATTCCTTTAAAAAAAAACTATTCACTCCTAATAAGAAAAATGTGTTTTTATTAATTTACCATTAATTAAATATTTTAATTTTTTTGAGCTATTTAATAATTATTTGATTAGATAAAATTCCACTTATTTGTCTTTACCTCACTCATGAAAGATAAAATTTCATTTTTATATCTCATGGGTGGCTAAATTTTCAGAGTTAAAAAGTGTATACATGTACATCACACGCCAAATGACCTATTGGAATTGAATCTGACATGCTAATTTGCGGAATAAGATGAGTAGACTATTGCCTCATTCAAATACTTTATTTAGAGTTGACAAAATTAGCTTTAAAATCATAATACGTCCAACATGTTTAAGCACAATTTACGATGATCATTATTTGCAAAGAATAAATCTCAATTTGTGTGAATAACATAAGAGGCAATAGCATCAATATGATGCTTTATATAAGTGTAGTAAGTAATTAATGATCGATCAAATTTTCCTTAGCTTCTTTCTATAAATCCCACTGGAACTTGGTTAAGGAATCCAATCTTACTTGACTTGATTTGTCTTTTGTTTTGACCTCCAACATGGTTTCTCCTAATTCCAAATCTCTTTCCTTTTATTTAAGTGTAGCAATATTTCTATGTTGAACTCGTATTTCTTGATTGATGCGTTTAACCCATAAACTCAACTCCTCAAGGAATTATTATAGATACATCGGAAAAGGGTCAAAAATGCCCCGAACTATATGAAATAGACCATTTATATCCTTCGTTACATTTTGGGATAAAAAATGCCCCTGCTGTTATCCTAAGAGACCACAAATACCCTCAAGAGTTAACACCCCAAATTTTTGTTGACGTGGCAAGCCACGTGGGACTAATCCTTCCACCTAAGCGTTGCCAACTAGGATTCACTACAAAAGAACTAGACCTTTAGCGGCAACAACAGTCGCCACAAAAGCCCAGAAAATCGTCACTAAAAGTTTTTAATATTAAATTCTAATTTTGTGTTTTTTTCTTCATTGTTTTTAAAAAACCAAATATGATATCGATTAAGTAGGAGTTTGAAGACACTATACGTTTTATTTTTATGTCATATGTAAATGTATAAAATGTACAATGATGCATTATATATATATAGTAGGAGATTTGAATCGAGAAGTAATTTTGATTATTTTTCGTAATAATATTGGATGTTTTTAATATGGATATTGCAAGTTATTTATTTTAGAAAATTAGGTCGCAATCGAAAATTAATTATCATATTTTTTTTGTTGAAAAAATAGGTTTTACTAGCGAATGATTGTTGGAGCCTTAGTCGCCACTAAAAATCACTCATAACCTTTAGTGGCAATATTTTGGGATTTTGTGGCGACTTTGTCGCCACTAAAAGTCAAGTTCTTTTGTAGTGAATCTTAGTTGGCAATGCTTAGGTGGAGGGATTAGTCCCATATGGCTTGCCACATCACTAAAAAATTGGGGTGTTAACTCTTGAGGGTATTTGTGGTCTCCTGGGATAATTGCGGGGGTATTTTTGATCCCAAAATGTAATGGAGGGTATAAGTGGTCTATTTCGCATAGTTCAAGGGCAATTTTGACCCTTTTCCGTAGATACATTGATAAGAAAAAAATAATTAAATATTTTTTAAAGATAATTATCCAAAATAATAAGGGAGACAAGTGATAAAGATATTTGTTATCCTTTGGCTAGCCGTCTACATTGAAATATATAATTTTGATAGAAACAAATTAATAAACAGTGTGCATATAGTACAAGTCTTGTGGAATTTGGATCCAATGGGACATAATGACGTGTGTAGACATTGGAAAAAAAAATAATTCTTTCAAGTGGACGTACAATAAGACCAAAATTGAACTGACATAAACTAAATGCGATGACCTCTTTCAATCAACTTATTTGAGATAGTAGTAACGTACGTAACCCTAATATTTTGTATCCGTCACTCTCTACTTTTTTGTGTACTATGCAACCTCTGGGTAGCATTGAGCCTACGGCTCCCATTTCCTGTATGACTGTAATGTAGTAATATATATAATATCCTTATTTACCAAAAAAAAAAAAGCTTATTTTATCATATATTTTTTAAAATAATTTTTTATTCTTTCATTTTCTCAGATACACCATTTTATGTGATGTATGGATCGGAACGTACGCGATGTATTCAAAATCGAGAAGTCATGTATTGGGATTTTTTGGGATGTATCCGGACTTCACCAAATTCAAGGAATTTTTATAATTTTAATAGGAATATATGTGATTAGCTCTCAACCGTTTACACTATGTGATTTGTATAAAATTTCTAATTTAATTTCTTTTTCTACACTTTGCTTCAATAAATTATGTCATGAGGCTGCTCTTATTTCCACGATAAATCGTCTCTCTCACTTTTATACAAACACAAACTATATATTGTATTTGTATAATTTATGTTTGTATAAAACGAGAGAGAGAAAGACAAAAGGGAACTGGGCAGAGGAAAATTTGTATTAGTATAATTATAAGTATATAGGACGGAGAGATATGTATTTGTATTTGTCTCTTTCACTTTATACAAACACAAAGACAAACACAATTTATACATTTGTGTTTGTATAAAAGTGAGAGAGGCGAGGGAGAGAATTGAGAGTGACGAGCGAGATTCAAGGGAGAAAGGCGAGAACGGCAATGTATTTGCTACGAATTTAAATTAAATGAAATTGTATTTGTAACATTTATTTTGAATTAATAGTTTGATATAATATACAACTGTCCCGAATAATGTCAATTATATTTCATATTTTCTCTTCGGGTTGTGTTTGGTACCAAAAGAAAGGCTGCTAAAAATATTTTTACATCAATCTAACATAAGAAACTTACACTTGACTTGAAAAGCAAAATAAAATAATAAATAAAATGAGAATATCTTATATACTGACAAGTCTTTAATCGGGAAAATTATTTTCTAGGCACATTCATTGTATGTGTCCCATGCAAATAGTACCTACAGTATATTTAAAATGTAGTGAAAATATCACATTTTTGTTAGCTTCAAACATCTCTAAAAGCATAGACTTGCTACAAAAAGAAAAATTAAAATTTCAAAAAGATTATGAATTCAAAGCACAAAGTAAAGCAATTATTTAAGAAAACTAGTACTCGTATTTGCATGCTAATCAACAAATAAATGAATAATTTTAAAGCTCCGCATTTGCTATTTATATAATTCTCAAGAAGTCTTTAAAAATAAAGGTTTTTCTTATGAACACATGAACCAGATCCATGAGCTAATACACACGAAAAAACTAGAAAGTTAGTTTGTAAATACGAAAATATCCTTAGGAGCTTTAAGTTGTATACTGATATATTTCTTTTCTTCTTTTGCCTTCAATTTTTTCTTCTTTTGATATTTATAAAGAGTATTTAACACTATTATTTCTAATGAGATTATTTATAAATAGTATTTAACACTATTATTACTAATGAGATTATTTTCAAAAGCCCACTATTATATACATCAGATCGGTTCACATTAGACCCTACAAACGAATGCCACGTGTCAATAAAGACCGCCACGTCATTCATTTTAAAATTATTTTGATATAATAATAATAATCATATATTTTTGTTTTCATCCCAAATGACCGTTATACATACAACTCTGTTCTCTTCTTCACTACCGTATATTCTCACACACACGCTCTTCTCAAGCCGATGAAGATGAAGATGAAGATGGGTCTGACCTTCAAATGGTGAATACCCCAATTCCTCTCTCAATTTTACTTCTTCGACGATTAAAGAAATCAAGTTCTTTTGTGTGTGTATGCAGCAGACAATGGCGAAGATCACGCTGGCGAGAATAAAATTGCTGAGAAACAAGAGGGAGGTGGTTGTGAGGCAAATGAGGAGAGACAGACATTGGT